TAAAATAACAGCATAAAGCTCTCGGCGTTGATCAAACTCTGAGGGATGCGCCGTGCATTCGACTTCATTGAGCATCGTTGGAGGTGATTGAATGCATATCTGGCCTTTACAATGACTCGCAGTGGCCTCCCTATATATCGAGCCAGTGCTGCTATCTTTCCAAACAGTTCTGGTGCCAATTTGCCGACCCCGGAGGTATGGAAGGCTTAGTGGGCCATGGGCGTAGGGATCGATTCCACGAGTGTGTCACAGTGGCGCCTCCAACCAATGCGCCGCACGCACCCTGTCCAAAAGGGTAGAATGAATAAAAACGTGTGAGACTGTGGAACTTTAGGTTTCCTTCCCATCTTTGGCAAAGTAAAAACTTCAGTTGACCGTGATTTCCTAGTCGTATCGAATTACTATGAGGCACATGAAAATCAGAATGTTTAAATAAACGAACAAGCGGTCAATATTCTTCAACGCTCAATTTTGCTATGAAGACCCATACTACAGCGACTATCGACTGGAATCAATATGAAAAATGCGAAGGCGCCGAAGCTTTAGTCGAATAAAACTTTTTGAACAAACTTGTGCTGGCTTAACTATGTAAGAAAATAAACATTGGTCAGTTGGAAGCTCTAGAGAAGAGGGTGCACATTGAAGCTGCACGATTCTCGAGATATAAACGATTGAATAAAGCCACATTGCGTCGTTTTCTTGTTCAACAGCAGCGAGGTTGTTATACAGCAAACATTTACTTCCATAAACAAAACACAATACAATACAACAGTAGCTGACGTTTCGGCAGTATCGCCTTCTTCAGGAAGTCACGGAAGTCACGAAAAAAGCGGCTCTGAGGAAGGCGATGCTACCGGGACGTCGGCTACTGTTGTACTATATGTGCTTTTTTCACAGAAGTAAATATATACTGTATAACAACCTCGCGATTGCTGAACAAGAAAACGTCGCATTCATATTCCAGTACCGAGGTTAATAGAAAGTCGACCTTGGGAACTGTTACAAGATAAACCCATATTCACGGAAACTTTACCTAATTGCTCTGACTTCTACATCATAACCACCAAGATCTGGTGAACTTATTGAAATAAGGACGAAGTAACTTGTAACAGAGTGACGACCTTCAGTATAAATTTTTTTCAAAATTTCCGTCTACACATGGCTTCTGGATGGTGTCGAGGAATGGACTTCAGAAAAAGTCTATAAATCGATGTAGTTAGTAGTGTAATTAATACAAACAAGACGATGCGGCGACATTTTCAAAACTCCGGACCGTGGGTGACCGCGGTGGAGAATGAACGTGCTATTACCTTTTCCGGAGGCTAACGCGTTCACCACGATACCATGCGTGTTCTTCGCTTCGCGAATTTCTCTGCTAGTTTTATATCTACCATTTCCATCACCAATAACGCTTCAACGCGATTGATCTGAAGAGCACAAATCGGCATTGAACCCAGTTAAACTGAGGCTGGAACTGAAATCACAATCACAAATAAAATTGTATTAAGCAGCAAATAAAAAGTTAAGATTGTGATTTCAACATCGGCCTTCTTTTAATTAGGTTCAATGCCGATTTGTGTTCTACAGATCAATGCCGCTGATGCGTGATTGCTGATGGCAATAGTAGATAGAAAATAGATAGAAAACTAGCCGAGACACGCTCATCGAAGGACGCGCACGGTGTGGTGGTGAGCGCTGTACTCCCAGGAAAACGTAATAGTGCGTTCGTCCTCCACCGCATACACTTGTGGTCCAGACTTTTGCAAATATCTCAGAACCATCTTATTTGCCTTTCACAGGATAGCTTGCCCTAAAAAATTGTATTAGGAAGCGAATAAAAAGTTAAGAGTGAAATTAATAGTTATTTCAGTAGGACCGCCAGGATTCTCTACGGATAGTTCAATCTAAGAGGCTTTCTATGAAAACGTTTCAAAAAGAAACACTTTACTTTTTTACATGACCCGTCGCCACACCACTGTGCGGATTGCAGTGCTTCTTGCACTCGATTCGTTTTCCTTGCATTCATCACCCACAAACCTCTTCAAACATTTCATATTCTTTCGGCTGTAGCTTGAGGATTTCGTCTTCTTTATGCATTTCATAAAATGTTGCTCGAGTCGAATGTTCTTGCAATCTTAGAGAAAGAAGAATTAAGGCGTTCCCACTTCGCTTGGAGAGGGTGTTGGTGCGAGAATGAACAACCGCCTTTGCTTCCTAATCGACGGCATCACTAGCCACTGCGCTATCCTCCCAAGCGGACGGCCCTGGATATTTCACTCTATTGTATAAGAAAAGAAAATGTAACGACTTAGACTTACGTGGTCGGACTAAAGAGTCAAAACACTAGGAGCAAACTCTTTTCCGCTGAGTTGGACGTTCGTCACTTTTTTCTTCCTTTCTTCTATAAAAACATGAATACCTTTTGACATATCTGATATAAGAAATTTGCCGCACCTAGTTCAGTTTAGTTATTAATTAGTGGTACATGTAACTCTTGCAAAGTTTCTAACGTCATTTGAATTTTCTTTTAATAGCATAAATTTCTTATTTTTTGGGAACCTAACACGAGGTTGTTGCCAAATTTTAGTTCAGTTAACGTTTCGACGTCTTCGTATTCTTTGGAGCCTATGATCCGAGTCGATGTCAACACTTTTTCGTACCCTCGAAGTAGTGGTCGTGTTAGCTTATTAAGGAAATATGGTACGTCGATCATTCATACCGATATTAAATGGAAGTTGGTTTACAATGGTGTGTTCCTTCGCTACCTACGTGCTTATTTAATCCCAACTTTCGTAGGATTGACTGACAGGAAAAAGTTGTTACCACTGGGCAGTCATATCAATAGCAACTGTCCTGCTTAGAAGAGTAGAGGTATAGAGGCATTTCTTACAAAAAAAAAAGTAGTACAAGGGTTTCATGCTGCTAAAGTGGGAAAAACAAAAGTTGTTTTCGTGTTCAGTTATGACTATTCAACTTGATGACGCAAAATCATCCATAACTTTCTTCTATTTCTCGGATATAAAACATTGTCAGTTATCTTTACACTACACATTCGAAAGGCGACAGACTCTTCATGATGAAGAGCAAGAGAAAAAATGATTTTCTTGACTTATAAGCATCATTTCATCCATGCTGAAAAAATTGGAAATCATTTGGCAAAAATGTATTTAATGGCAAATAGTCGAACAAAAATGTGCTCCGAAATGATATGGGAAAGCAAGGTTAGAAATGATTATTACTCATTACGCAGGAAAGTCGCCAGAAAGTACATAGTTTTTTTTTACTCTAGTTCTGTCCTTCGAACCGCTCTTAAAAATCCTTCGCCATTTCATATTCATAACCACCTTCAAAAGACCAAGATTACGTTAGCGCAAAATTGTTGAGTGTATAGCAGACTTTTTAAGTTTTTTTTCACACCGTAAGGATTCTTATAGTCGCTGTGCCGGTTTCCTGCGCACCATTATGTCACGAGCTTTTTAAGGTGAGTCATATCGTAGCCACACTAGGAATCTGCTGCTTTACATTTTAGAACTGTCTGTTTCAGCTTATTATTCGCAAAGAACCTTATGACTCTAGAGATCTTACGATTATTGTCGTATAACGAAATATTTCATAGTGTTCACTCTTCATTAGTGATAGTCCGTAAGTTTCACCAGTCACCAGTTTCACCTTGCCATTACTTGGAATCGCTACATCTTGCTAGTTACTTAAATCTTTGACTATATTTATAAGCAGTGGTACCTACTTATTTAGTCATGTCTTCTATGTTAATACCATCCATCGGTTTTGTTATACTGTCTTAATTTTTTTCATATTTTTAAAACATAAATGGTACTGCATCGATTAAGTTCGAAAATTCTTGTGGTCCAATATGCCCTCCGGTCCTTTTCCTCTTACAGGAGTCAAGTATCATCGACGTATGCATTGTAAACAGATCGGCACTGAATTAACTTATCCGCTTTTTTGGCGAGATTTATGAAATCATCTATATTCGTCAGGTGAAACGTCTGTCACTTTCCTGGTTAATCGCACATGATTGTTTCTACTGCAGTCTCTAAATATAAAGATGGGTATATCTAAAACGAATGTATTAAAAAGTTACCAGTGTTTCATTTTCACTAATTCTTTCTATTCCACAGATGATTAGGATTGCGTAGTCTGTGAGGAGTTGTGTGATCGGCGAACCTGTTCGTGTTTGACGGTGCCGATGACAATGTTGGCACTGGATAAATCTAAAGAAGCTCGCTCATACTTCCCGGTCGCTATTAAGTTTATCTCATACGTCACTTGGAAAACGGGTTGTTCACGTAAACCCTTGCTCCGTGAAGTCGTTTTGGCACTCCTATGTCATTCACCTGTTTCAGTGATGAAGAACTGCGTTATACCATCGGATTCTATGTCATTTCGATTTCGGACATCCAATAGAATCATAGAACCAGAATTTCTTACTTTTCTATTACAGTATTTCTGTGGGTGGAATCATTTCTTTTATTTCCAAACTACTTCCGACGCCGATCAATCATTCTGTCAGAGTGCGAAGAAAATGCAGCTTTTAGATTTTCTGTATAGTAGCCATTAAGTTTAACTGAATGCCCGTTACATAAAAACACATACATTTGATTTTCACTGCTTGTTTGAGTCATAATGTGAAGAGTCACCACAACAATGAAAAAATAAACACTTTGAATATCTAATTTATGAGATGAAAAGAATCTAAAAAGTGGTACCTTCTTGTGCTTCTATTATTCCGTCCAACCCGAAGCCAGGTCTCTCTATTTCTATTTGTGAACTACTTCTGCATTCCACAGGCTCCTCCTTTGCAAATAAGGTATTACAACATCAAGTTTCTAAACACATAGATTTAGAATGCCCTAAAGAAGTTTTGTGCATATTTAACAGGCGAAGTTCCATCCTATTTAAGCCTATTATCGTCATTGTATCGTGAAGGTCTTCCTGTTCGTTAAAATGTCTACTACTAGATTTTATGTTCGGGACAAATGATGATACGAAGGAGCCAGCTTATGTCTTCCATATTTCTGCTCCTTCTGACCGCTGATGTCGTAAGTCATGAAAGGTAGATTCATGTTACTACTTCAATACCACTGGCCAAGAAAAACAATTTTTTACGAACAATATTAGTCCATCTCTTATTAAGTTGATTTGAATTTTCCTCCGCGTTCAATTTTACACGCGTAGAGACGTTACTGGATTCTATACTACTTAAAAAACAGAATTTAAAAAACCCACCCAACCCATCATGTTTGCCACTACCTCCACTTTTTTTAAGAATAAATGAAGCATGTTTAACGACAAGTGTAGAGCCGTTTGTATTTTGCAGTGAATGCCGATAACTCCTTAAAAATTTAGATTCATGGTGAGAAAAGGAGGACGACTAGAGCGTCTGTATAAACGAACATTGAACGACTACCGCCATGCACAACACCAATATCGACATCATCATTACAGGTTGTATTGACGTTTTATAATGAACGCTTTCGTTTATATTTCATATGAAGAAATCTTTAACGTTCTTAGACACAAGCGCCGTTGCCGCGAGCGAAACGTGCATACGAGAATGGGAGAAATCCTTGCCCAAATGAACTCAGTTGTTCGACCACGATTTGGACGTTCAGCGGGATATTTTCGTAGTCGCGAATAATATATGAATATATATGTGTATGTACGTATATATTATACATATACTAAAATATCTATGTAGATATGTGCATACATAGATATATATATATATATACGCGTATATATACGTATCTCAGTTCAGCCTTAAATTGTGTTGATCCGTCCTATACAGCCAAGTGGTGCTGCTCTTGGTGAGTATCGTCCGAAGCATCCATTAAAGACAACCCCGTGTTTTCTTGCTTATACCCGTCAACTAGTCAGGTTTCATGAGGACGCGCTTTCTGCACCCTATTGCTCGCTTCGACTAGACTTATGACTTTTACGCGCTTTATCAATCACTTGGTTTCGCAAGCTTTCCCTCAATGAGATGCTTCTTCATTCATCATTTGTCATCCCGATTCGACCGCTTTCTTCGCGTAATTCGCTCTTTTGCCCTTCCTCCCTTTGTGCTTTTCTTATCAGTCAACATCTACTTCTACACACATGAAGTTTTCTGGATAGTGAGTTAAGTTGTTTTCCATAATTAACCACTGTATACTTTTAAGGACATGTGCATTTCTATAGGTAAGGTAGGTGAACATGTGGTACACACCGTTGTGCGTAATTATGGAATAAATTTCAAGTTTTTCTTTTAGATTTCAAATAGCAATATGCATAATGGCTCTAGTGCTCTAAACGACAACGGAAATTATAATTAATTGTTTCTCCGGTTTCCACGTTTATCACCCAAAACACAAAATGCAGAAAATTAAATTCAGTTCTCCTTAATTTCATCGCGTCATTCCCCATTAAAGAAATTCACCGAAATTTCATTCATTGCTTAAACAATTGGAATCGGACTGATACATAAAAGTATCCGATTAATTAAGCCCTCAAAAGGTTTTCGCTGTATATTCCTCGAACTGGATACTTGGCCTCCTTAAATCGTTTTCGATCAGTCGGTTTGCGAACCGACAAATTAGGGAATTTCCTAGCGTTCTCGAATACTTCTTAAAAGATAGCAAAGTGTCTTTCGACCTGAAGTTCTCGGAGAGTAGCTGCTGTGAACACTTAGAAAGCCCGTAACGAGACTGGTAGTCCGGAAAGAAACATACCTAGAAAAATTCAACGTGTGAGTAGGAAGAAAAAGCCACAGTTTAATAAAGCTCCGTTGAATTCACACAGAAATCTGACCACATCTATGCATGACAGTTATATGTTAAAAGAACGAATGTAAGCATTTCTTGGGCTCACATGTCATGTGAAGAAGACCTACCATCTAAACAATGACCTGGGTAAGTTTTAAACTTAAGTTTAACATGGAAACGAAGAAATTCTGCTTTGGAACAACGAATCGATTACGCACAGCCAAGTCGATATAGCGTTCTTCTTTGTACGCTCCTACAGTAAAACTTACAAAGGGGCTTGCAATGCAATGCAGGCCTATTATCGGCAGCCCGGTCCACATTTCGGGATATTGTCCATCTTAACATGGCCTTTAATGGCAGCGAACTCGTCTAAGATTGGTAATTTTATGTCATTAACTTTTCTATTCACTGATCCTTCCAGTTATTGTACTCTCCGACGTCTACACTTCCTTTGCCTGTTTAAGAAAACGGATTTAAGGCTTATTAGATGAAGTTGATTTTCGACGTATGATTTAATTTCGGATTAATCTATTTTCATTGGTTGGATTTTTGTGTTAATTGAGAAGCAAGGAAATATAACATGTTTTTCAATGAAGATAGTGAGTGATTAGTAGCCAAAGAAGACAGCGATGCCTTCCAACTTCTCCAATCCAATGAATTTGTCAAGCACTACTTCAGACCTTCAGCAATCTAATGTTTATAACAGTTCTCAAATTATCAGGATTTTAGCTCACAAGGATGCACAGACTTGAGCAAAGCTCGGAGCCTCGGAAAGGATTCCCAACATCGTACACTGCCATGAAGAAGAACAGGCAGGAAATGAAAGTTAAGACATTGTGTTTTCAGTTCCAGCTGCGTTCGATGCCGATTTGTGCTTCCCAGATTATTGCCGTTGGCGGGCGATTGCCGATAGCAGCGTTGGAGTACAAACGTGGTTGGGAGAAAGACAAAACAAGGGCCTCGATTAGTGTGGTGGATAGCTCGTGAGCCCCGTAATGGTAATTATGGGTTCAAAGCCTTGCTGAGGTTCTGAGTTTTACTCATATCGCTACACCTTCGTGGTTATATTACATATCGTACCCTACGATGAAAAAGAACAATTAGCAAATAATAGATGTAATGTAGTGATTATAACGCCATTTGTGCTAAAACGAAAAAAAAGACATTTGTGTTCAAGGTCAACAAAGAATTTTCGGACTGACACATATATTTCGTTTAGAACAATCCATCCTTTGTCAGTGCGTAAACATTAAGAAATAGGCAAAAGTTCAATTTCTTAGATAGTTCTCATCGTTGGGAGAAATGAGCAGCTTCTAAAACACCTTTGTGAAAAGTGAGGATCGTTATAACTCATAACTTGTATTTTACCTTTGTATATATGGGTGGACCATCCAATAAGTTCGGTTTCTGTGCAGCTTTCGAAGTATTGGTAAGGCTTTCCGTCATCAGCTTTGCACGCTAATTTTCTAAAGCCTTTGATCAAGATCATGGATTATTAATTGCTCTTCTGGCACCGATCAGACTACAGAAACAATTTGAAATCATTGAAGCTTTAATTCGATAGCTATAAAAGAGCATTTTAACCTTTAATCAAATTCTTCCTTTTCCTTCTCAATTTGCCAACTTTGCAGACTTTGAAAACATTTAAAGCGTTTTAGACTCGTGGTAACGTCGGATTAGTTATCAGTGTAAATGTTACGTAAATGTTGTTTCGTGAGCAGTAAATCTATTGTTAAACGTGACAGTTTCAAAGACACAACATCATACCAAAATCATTATTATGTAGAAGGTCTCACCGAGGTCCAAGTAATGTAAAAGCGCCTTGATTAAGCACCGTTCGCTTAGTTATTCAGTCAAGTTTTGAAATTTGCTTGCTTTCACGGCTATTCAAGACCTTATTTTTCTAGTAATATCGTTTCCCACGGATATATCACTGAAACTTGTGAAGGATTAGTCACAATTTTTGCTTCAATTTTCATAGCTATATAACAACATTCGAGAATTCAACGGAGGTTTTTCAACGAAACACGACAACCCATCATGGTGTCAGATATATTGGGATGCTTTCCCTTGTGTATATTTATCTTCCATTGTTCGTCAAAGTAAGCACGGACTTTTTTTTGTAGAGGCTTTCTTTTCGTATGTTAGACCTGTCTTAGATTTGACGCTAGTCTGAAAGTGTCGATATTTCCTTGTAGATGATCTTATTTAAACATCGTTTCTGACTTGGGATTTGCCTTGCAGAATCGATTGTTGTCGCTAGAACGCTCGATAAGAGGTTTTCCTTACTTTTTATATTAAGGTAGATCTGATTTGTTCTTGTGTGGTTTCATCGTTGGATACAGCCGAAAAGATAAGTGGTTGAGCGAATACTGCACTGTATACACTGAGTGCTCCATTTCTTTTTCTCATGTACATAACTCCGGGTCCAAGATAGCCTCCACAAAAAGCTGTAAAAGCGACAACATGATGACCTTGAAGTTTAGTCAATATCAGCTGCGGAACGTTATGAATGTTTTGCTGTATTGACGCTAAACTTTTATAGTGAAAGGGCTGTATTAAACCTATAATTCTTATTAATGAATAGATAACAGTAAAAATCATTGGATACTAAATGTCACCAAGCCTTGATCACTGACATTGCAAGCGTTTGCAAAGAAAAGATCTGTAAAGTCACATGTTTTCAATTCAATTTGTTATTACATGATTATGCAAGTAGTCTTGAATAGACTGGAAAGCAATTGCAGGTACCAAAATCACAGATAAATAAAAATGTGAAGCTCAATAACTTCAGGCTTGTCAGCTTGACAAAGAAAAACACGACCGTTTAGCTTCGACTGCCAGGAATTCAATATCCGGTCTGATTTATGATCTTTCAATATATTGGTCACATTAGATTCTCTCTTATTCAACTCCGCACTAGCAGATTTGAAACGCTCTTCATGTCGTCTTTTTTCTACAACATTATGCGTACTCTGATTCATATCGCCTGGAACTGCTTTCTAGTGAACCCACTACTTGCCTTTGCAGTTTTCGGGGAACACCCTTTCTTTTTAACTTATCATCTAATATTCTTATCACCCACGTAACGGCAATGGCCTACTTTTATTTGGACTCATTTTTCAATGATTCTCGAAATATTTCGTTATAACGCAAATTTAAGACAACGCATCATTTCAATAACGTAGTTAATATTGAATGGATATTTGAACTGGCTCACGCCCGAGGCTGTTTGGTGTAAGTGATATTATGCCAGTACGTGTCTTGCGGCGATTTTAAGGCTATTTAAGTGCCAGATTCGCTTATTTCCACTCAGCATACTCATGCTGTCTCCTGTATCTAGAACAGCCTTTTTTATGGCTCTACTAATTGCCTACACATTGGCACAAGACGATTATACGTAAGTAAAATTCTAATTGAGCTAATCTTTTATCTCACAGTATTCTTTACTTTATCTGTGGCTTATGTGTTGAAAAATTTGACCAACAGGTGTTTCTGCTGGGATTAAACTACGTTGAGTATATCGTATACATTTGAACTTAATCTGTTTGCAGTCAAACAGTACATCAGAGTTTTTGGTTTCGAAGAGCTCACTTCTTACCAGGTGATAGGTGTAAGAGATATGTTGTTGAATCAAGGATGGGAAAACGACAAATGGTGTAAAAGAGGGATAGAGCCTTAAATTTGAGCCTCACTATCTAGCTTTTGCAGACATCATTATCTCTCTTTAGTCCCGAGAAACGAGCAATGCGCAATGCGTTGGTACGTTTTGGTCGTGCTGGAGGCGGTATGCGAAATGCACTAGTCAGGTAAGTGTGAAAAGCACTAACTCTCAAGAACTGAGTATTTGTTTTTCCTATTCAGGTTTGGAAAAAGGTCATCTGTTGATGACGATTATGACCAACGTAAACGCAATGGCGCTCCACAGCCATTTGGTGAGGAAATTTAACCGGTTATTCTATACGATATATAATTAGTTCATCGACACTGTATGTTGCATTGTATGGTTAAAATAGTAAAACAAACTGCTCATTGTCAACACGAAAGTTTATCAAACATACCTCAATGAAGAAGAGGCTTTCAGCAAGATCTATGGCTAAGTAAACATTCGTTTCATTAGTTTCTCGTTGACATGAAGTCCTTCATTCTGTAAATTGTTGTTAAGAAAGTACCGCTAATAAAATTACCATAATATTTAGTACGATTCGGACGATCAGGACAGCTAGATCACATGCATGATATCTTGTCGACGCTACAAAAACTGGAGATGGCAAACTACTACTGACATTCGGCCGGCAGCTCTTTCTCTGTGTTTCTTTGGACATCATGTTTATTTCTATTAGTTGGTCACGAGTAATGATCTCGAGCTCGCACTCCTCTCATGCCTCACATCGTGATGCGCTATTGCGTTCATATTGTTTCATGCCACAATAGATAAAGGCGTTGATAATGTTGGGTGGTGCTTGCTGCCAATGAAAAATTCAAGCACGGTGCATATTTAAAATATCTTTACGTGGTAATTACATTGTTTCACGTCGACGAGGTCTATTTAGACCAAGACAGGTCTTTGTGAAAATGGCAAACAATTTTAGATCAGAGAGATTTTTCCACTCCATCATTTCGGTGTTTCTCTCCACACCGACAAGTCGAGTGTTGGTTTAGAGCAACTTTTTTGAAATCCCAAAACAGCAGAGATACAGTGCTCACAGCTACTCAACACATGCAGTCGCTTCGTAATTTAGTGTAAGATTTTCCTGCCTTGTGATTGGGATTCTTCTAGGGTGGCAGTGTTTTCTAGCATTGTTGCTCGTCAATGTAATATGATAAATTCCCAAAGGATTTGATTATGCGCATACATTTGGTTTTGAAAACTGCACGATCGTAGACATGGAGAAGCTTGTGTTTCAATACAGAGTGTTTGAACAAATTTATCTCAAAGACCTTTAGATCTATGAAAAGGTTAACGAATTCACCACTATACAAATCATGCATAATCGGTGCGAAAATAATGTTCGCCTTCAAAGTTTACCCAGTAGATATACTCATAAAGTCAGAAAAAAAAGTTTTAATGCTTCACAAAGATGAAGATTTGACTTTTCTTTCTAACTCTTAGGCAGCAAAACTTCTTTCCTGGTTTCGCTTTGTTCAGATGTCGTATTTCGAAGATGAAAGTATTCAAACAAATAGGATTCCGTCTAGCAAAACACGATGGTATTCTCTAATGTACCTTTTGTGTCTGCTTTTTCTGTGTTTGCATTAAACAATCTAGAACTCTTAGAGCTGTTTCCATCTGAAAATGTTAACATAACCCAGATTTAAAATTCAAAAATACTTCATAAAAACTATAAAAACGAAGGATTGTTGGTACATTCAAGTAAAGCTCCACTTTTTTTTATCTTTTCATAAGCCTCTGCTATTATCATTCTCTTTACGGCGCTAAGGGTGGAGAAATTTTTAGAATTTATCCGAACATGGTCTTTGGCTCTACCCTGCACCCCGAGTTCATCAAGCCTTCCGCTCAGTAAACATTGTGGGCGTCTACCCATGCCACTTCAGGGAAAGGCGGTCATTTTCTACTGATAAATAAAGCAGCCGGATTGTAAAAGAAAGACTAAAACCAGTACAACTGTTAATATGTGTTAACTTGAAAACACTTCTAAATCTTCAATCTTGCTCAAGGCCAAAAGACTTGTACCATACTTATCTGGGAAGCTTCTTCCTATCCACACAGGCTGGTGACTGTGGTAAAGACCAGGGAAGAACCTAGTCGGCTACACCATGGTTTAGGACAGAATGGACTAACGTTCAACGTTAAATAAATTAACAAAGAAGACTAAAAGTCCTTAAGCAATTGCCGAATTTACATGCAAATTCGAAGGCTTTCGTAGAAGAAAAATGCGAAATAACCCATTGAATGGAAATAGTGCTGAGACCCGCGCAATATTTGTGATGTAGGCTGATGTATAATATTATTAAAATATTATTAAAATAGACAAACACCTCTTAAACACTAAAAGAAATTTTAGTAAGTGGAATATTTTATGCCTTAAACACTTGTTAAAAAGCAATTTTTCCATCACGACCAGATATTTCTGGAATGCACAAATTTTCTGCTCAAACTCGTAACACGGTAAGCACAAAAACTACTAGGAATACATTTTGCACAGTTCAGATCTTCATGCTATACTAACCGTTTTGTAGCAGAGAGTTTCGCGTAAATGGACGATGAAGTATTTGTAAAAAAGGTTTCGGTCGGTAAACTGCACGATATCTTATGTTTCATGGGTAAAAATTTTTTACATATCCATTGCATAGCATCGATAAGTGACTGCATTTTCGTGAAAACAGCACGTAAGAGGTGAAAGCCTGAAAACAAAATCACAAGAGATTAGACTTGAAAGAATTTCTTTTTTGAACTTTCATACAACTGTGAGGTGGTTTCAGCGTAGACCAGCATCGAGACACTGTGAAGCATTAACCTAAATCTACTGTGGTTCAGTAATGATTTGAGAATTCGATTTAGGTGCTTTAATGCCTAAAGTCTGTATTAAAACCAATGCACAATGGAATTTCACAGGTGCAAACCTAGACAAACAACAAAACGGTGCATAGGAAAGCGACAACATCAAATTACTTCATTAGGAAATAAAATCGGACCATCAGCTCTCACGCTACAGCTCGGCAAACTATTCGTGACTTTTCCACAAACAGTAGAACTAAAAGGCCTTGTTTCCCTACTGCTAGAAGACACGCAGTTCTGTTAACATTGCGTAGGGTGATTAAAGAAGGAATGCCGAAATCTCAAAGCTATTCCAGACTGATTAAATCTGGGAATATCATAGTGATGTCTCACACTTTTAGTATAGAAACACTAATTCATTGAGGAACCGATGACGTGTGACAAGAATTCGTGCTGAAGAAGGACGGTTTTTGTGATTTTTTGATGTGGCATGATTGATGGACAGCTGATAGATTCAGTGTTTCCATCAACAAGAATGTTAATGAACATCAACTATAAGAAAGAACATACCTTTTAAGAGCTTATAAAGCCATCATTTCGCCATCCACAGGTTTGAGTTAAACGAACAGGCTGGGCGGTTGTCTAGGTTCTTCACAACGAGGAAGTCAATTTATGATAACTCAAAGCTCTGGCTACTCTCTTCCCATTATTGGGCGTGTCAAGAGTACACTATCGAAATTGATGACATTGCAGCTCTTGTCTTAATGTCCCTCTCGGAATCGCACTATCGTCTCCATTGTGTAAGATTGTTTTTTCGAAAAACGAGGAGATGGTCGTAAAATTCAAGGAATGAGATAAAAACAGTAATAAATTTGAACTCTCCAGCCAGATCTTTGGAAGATAACGTTATCGATTGGGTCCACGAAGAACAATGGCTTGTTGAAACTCAACCTTGGAGAAATTTTCGTGCCAGTTGTGCCCTCTGCTCGCGTTCTATATCACTGAAAACGGTTAGATTGTCTGCATGATTCACTTCACACTCTAAATCCGTTTTAACTCCCACAGCTACAATAATGTTGAGCAAATGATAACAGTGCCGCCTGCACTATCTCCCTAAGCGCCGAGTGACCCAAACGGCCGCCATAAAAATTTTCTACGCCCTTGTTTACTGCCTAGTATCTCCAATTGCTACTTTTTCTTGGAAAAACGTGAAGAGAACCACAGCTTTTGTATTAGCTACTTTAGCTTTACAGCTATCGAGAATGTCATAAAGCAGCAATTCGTTGACACTGTTATGAAGGCTAGGCGTACTCAACGGTTGCTTGTTAGGCTTTCCAGAATAGGCCTTGAAATTAAATTTCACATGTCAACTGTTCCAACTACCCCAACTCCATTGGTCGTTAAATGACTCGAATGGAAGGGTGTAAAAGTTCCATTTCTTGCTATAGTGTTAGAGAGTACCTCAGTCAGCTTTCCACATTTTAAGGACTTGCTGAGTTTCACACAATTTTTCTGCGGTTTTCGTGAAAAGCTCTAATTGTCTAGTCATTTTGCTATGCGTTTTACACTACGTGAAATCTATTAACTAAAGTCCTGTATTCATATGCTACCGTTTAGACACTTTATTTGTCTCGCACACTTGGTTGCCGCATTTTGGCTCGCACAACGGCGTCTTTGGTCTTCGATCGTTCACGCATGTCGGAGTTTCGATTTTACCTTCAGAATTCTCAACACAGACCCTGATTGTTATAGCGTTCAGACGTATTCATTCTGTAGAGAGTGAATGAGGCATTAGAAGCAAATGTGTTCCCATGGCCATCATCTCAGTGAGATATAGAAAATGACCAACCTTTCCATAGCCTTTATTGAAGTCAACTAGTATTCAATCCTCCTGGATAGTGCTTGATATTATACAAACGATCAGAACTGCAAAAATGGTGTAGTTGCTAAATTTCACTTTCACATCCTGCCATCCAATTTTCGAATGGCATTCTCGATACTGTGACGAAAGTGGAGTTTGAGCCGCAAACGATTACTATTAACGAAAGCATGGCGTTCTATGAAAACTTCTCTAAGTCCAGATTTCAGCACAAGAACACTTCGACCTCGTTTTCATTATAGTTTAATGTCGGTGCGTAGACGACGACGGTTGTCAAAGCTGGTGTAGGTTCATATCTCCTCAACCTCGTTCGTCCGTTTCAGGTGGTTAGTTTTTTTTTTAATGTCATCGATGTTTATGGTCAATCTCGTGTAGGCGAAAATACGAACTCCGCCGAATTCTTTGTTATCGCGTATTCTGGACTGCTAGGACTTCAATAGAGCACAATTCATAAGTCAGATTTTTACCTTAGTCCTACCACATTCAACGAACCTAGAATGGGCCTTGGATCTGGATCTTAGCAGTCTCTTCGTGCTTGTACTAGACAATGCTGTCTTATCGGAGCTCTTTCGAAGACAGCAAAATGAGGCTTGTTGTGTGTTTTGCTGTTCATACACTAGGGTGTCATAGCGTTGGGGCTGAATAAACTCACGAGTATCTTGCCAGTTTCACCTAGAGTAGACGTGGATCTCCTATGTTGGAGGCTACTCCTTACCACGCCCCATGCACTTGCTAGTCATCGCAGGACTTTGGCTAGAGTAACTTGTAGAATACAATCTGTATAAGCGAAAACGTACATACGTAATCAAACACGGTCATGCCCACTCGCATAAAGTCGCTTTTGGTTCGCGTTTAACATCCTACTCGCGACTTGAAATATCTTTACGTAGCTTCGCGGCTAGCGGCCGAGAATCGCTCAGTGAGTGAGGTCGGTGGTGTAGGTTAG